GGAGGGCAGCCGGCTAAGCGTTGCCTCCCAGCACAGAGCCCCTGTGCGTGCAGCCTAACCTGCTGCCAGCACCCTCCCCTTTCCCCGGCAGCAGATTAGGCTGCACGCACTGCATCTGGCTCGGGAGTGCCTCCAAATGCAGAGCCATTGTGCACGCAACCTAACCTGCTGGCAGGGAAGAGGAAGGGCGCCGGCAGTAGGTTAGGCTACGCATGCCACTCAAAATCAGCTCACATGCTCCTCGTGTCATGTGTGCCGAGGGCTGCCAGCACCCTCCCCTTTCCCCGGCAGCAGATTAGGCTGCACGCACTGCATCTGGCTCGGGAGTGCCTCCAAATGCAGAGCCATTGTGCACGCAACCTAACCTGCTGGCAGGGAAGAGGAAGGGCGCCGGCAGTAGGTTAGGCTACGCATGCCACTCAAAATCAGCTCACATGCTCCTCGTGTCATGTGTGCCGAGGGTTGCCGACCCCTGATCTACACACCTGATAGACATTTATCTAACCTGCTCTTAAATATCTCCAGTGATGGAGATTCTACAACCTCCCTAGGCAATTTATTCCAGTGTTTGACCACCCTGACAGTTAGGAACTTTTTCCTAATGTCCAACCTATACCTTCCTTGCTGCAGTTTAAGCCCATTGCTTCTTGCCCTATCCTCAGAGGCCAAGGAGAATAATGTTTCTCCCTTCTCCTTGTGATATCCTTTTAGATACTTGAAAACTGCAATCATGTCCCCTCTCAGTCTTCTCTTTTCCAAACTAAACAAACTCAGTTCTTTCAGTCTTCCCCCATAGGACGTGTTTTCTTGATCGTTAATAATTTTTGTTGCTCTTCTGTGGACCTTCTCCAGTTTCTCCACATCTTTCCTGAAATGTGATGCCCAGAATGGGACACAAGACTTCAGTTGAAGCCTAATCAGTGCAGAGTAGAGCAGAAGAATGACTTCTCATGCCTTGCTCATAACACTCCTGTCAGTGCATCCCAGAATCATGTTTGCTTTTTTTGCAACAGTGTCTTGCTTTTAACTCAGTGGTCCCCAACGCGGCACTTGCCGGGGCATTTATGTACGCCCACCTAGTGACCAGGGCTGGCCCGAGCCATTCTTGCATCCTCAAAGGTATTTGGTGCCTAACTCCCATTGACATCAGTAGGGTTTAGGTGCCTAAATACCTTTGGGGCTCTGGACATTCTCTGTACCAGGGAGGCAGCTGTAACTGGTGCCAGTGAGGCTGAAGACTAGCCCCCCTATACAGCCACCCAGCCTGTGACAGGCTTGGAGTGAGTATGGAAAGAGCGCTGCCACTGCCTTCTCTCTTGAGCTCCTCCTCCTTCCCTCCCTCCCTCCCCCCCTGGGGAGAAGGGAGGGGGAGAGCCCCTTGGAGCCCCCTGCTTCAGGGGGCTGAAAGGATAAATCCAGGAATGTCTGTGGGGTGCTCAGATACCACTGTGAGGCAGGATACAGAATCCAGACAGGTAGGCTGATATTCTCAAAGGATTTAGATTCCTAAAGCCTAGTGAAATCAAGGGGAATAAGGCATCAGAATCTTTTTGAGCATCTGGCCTGTGGAATTTGATTTAGGATCAGTAGGACATACCTATCCCCACAGTAGGTAAGTCAGGGCATTATAGAACAACACTAGCATAAGCTGCCTCATTTATACAAAAAGTGAAACCAAACAGCCTTCGTTCCTCTCTATACCCGTGCATTGACATTCTTGGGCTATGTCTACACTACCAGGTTATTTCAAAATAAATTATTTTGAAATAATAACTCCCAAAATAACTATTTCAAAATAAGCCTGTTCCTCTTCACAAGCTGGAGTTATTATTTGAAATAACAAGCTCATTATTTTGAAATAACAGGCTTGGTAGTGTGGATGCTTTCCTTGTTATTTCGAAATAAGGGGAGTTATTTCTATAACTTCCCAGTGTAGACGTGCCCTAGGGCTAAAGTCATATACAGCTACGCAACTTTGGCTATGTCAATTGCGTAGCATAAGCCAAAATAGCTTAATTCAGCTTTTGGCACTGTCTACATAGCAGGAAGTTGAAGGAAGAACACTCTTCCTTTCACTTCCCTTACTTCTCGTGAAATGAGGGTTACAGGAGTCAGAGTAAGAAGTCCTGCAGCTCAACATTAGGCTTATACTGTAGATGCACGCTATGTTATTTTGGAATAACGTCAGGTATTCCGAAATAATGCTGCTGTGTAGACATGCCCAGAGGCTAGGTCTACACTGGCAGGTTCTTGCGCAATAACGGCCATTCTTGCACAAGAACCTGCGGAGTGTCCACACTGCCCACCCGCTCTCGCGCAAGAAGATTTACAGTATGGTGTCGGAAGACAAGTCTTCTTGTGCAAGAGCTACGCTCTTTTCTAACAAGTGTAAGCCCTCTTGTGCAAGAGCTCTTGTGCAAGAGGACAGTGTGGACACGCGGCAGCAGGGGTTTCTTGCGCGAGAAATCCCTATGGCTAAAATGGCCATCAGAGCTTTCTTGCGCAAGACAGTGTCCACACTGCCGTGAATGCTCTTGCGAAAAAGCACATGGCAGTGTGGATGTGTTCTTGCGCAAGAGTCCTTGCACAAGAACCCTTGCGTAAGATGTTCTTGTGCAAGAACCCGCCAGTGTAGACATAGCCTAAGAGAACAGAGAACCATATTGGCCATTCCCTCAGCCAGTCCCTCCCTGTGCTGGCATCATTGCCACTTGCTCTAGTCTATAAATCATTTAGGACAGGGAATTTCTGTCTTGTAAAACACCAAACTCATCTATGATTAGTTCTTCTGATTTTTTATTTTAACTCATAAGCCCGATAAAAAAGGCTGATATGAAAGTTGAAATCAGTGTTTATCCAGTAAACCGTTGAGAACATTAAAGGCTCGTCTACACAATGGTTATGGGGGTATGATTCTAAAGCACACCAGTATGTTGCTCATTAATTGGTTAAAATGCACTAGGGAACATTACAAAAAGATAACTCAGAACGCTATACACAAAGAGAAAGCCTCCCTTCCCCCCCCCCCCTGACTTTTGGACTTGTTCACAGAACTCAATTTGCTAACAATACCCCCCTAAATGAAAGAACCCCAAAACAGAGCCCTATCTGTGATCTAGAACAGCAGCAGGTATTTCTCCAGTGTCTGTTGCCACGCTATCTAAGTAACATGGATTCAGCGAACCGCTCCAAAATGGTCTACTTGCAGCAGTTAATGGACTAGCTAGAGATGGCAGTGACCAATTAAACCATACAATGCACCTCCCAGTGACACAGCTGTCTCCCTTCTTGTGTAGGGATTGTGGCTTCTGGATGCCCTAGAGGAACATCTGCTATTGCACTGTCTGTATCTGCACCGAACCACTTCAGTAACTTGTTTCTCCTTATGTTAACAGGTTTCCTTCTATGTCTGGTGATTCTACTGATGTGAAAGCTCTCTAATGTGAGTACCCAGCAGCAGGCTTCTGCTGTCTGTGGTCTGGACTTTGACTCTCAAAGTGATCTGCCAGCTCCCTCATCTCCCCGTAAAGGCCAATGTGTTAGACCATCCATGTCCATTTGCTATGACATACATCAGTGTTGATGAGAGACAGGAACACTGCCGGGTGATTTTGAGCTGCCAGAATAATCAGCTGTATGCACAACATGGCCTAAAGGATTTTTCAGTTAGCAGCATGCACCCACTAAAGAGCTTAGAGACTCGGATTCTTGCTGGGGACTTCAACGCTGTAGACTCATGTCACCTAGGCAAGGCAAGCTTGGCCAGTGCCGCAGAAACCCGGCTGTATCGGAGCGTTGAGAATCTACACTGGGCAACAGTTGCGGACTCGAGTCTGTATTCCCACTGCCGGAGCATGGACAATGAGCTGCTTTTCCACTACAAAGGTGCCAGTTACTGGTCTGAAGGCTCTGCAGAGAGAGCTCCACCCCCGAGCACAGCAGACCCTTGCAGGCACTCTGAGCGAACATCATCATCTGCGCGAAATGTCCCCCTTCCTCCTTTTGCCAAAGTGCCTCAGTGGCTTTTCCCTTCCCCGGAGGAGAGGGCCCTACATGGGGATGCCAAAAAAGAACTGAAGGAGAAGCTGAGGATTCACAGCGCCAAGGTGGTGGCGGTGCCCTGCAAACCCGTGCGTCCCCAAGCACCTTTGACCAGCTTGGTGGCGAAGGAGTTCTCAGCATGCCGGGTGTGTCAGCAGTGCAAAAACGGGTGCTCTGTACACTGCTGTGCGGTGTTTGTGGAACACGCTGCCCTCAGTCATGGCTCTGCAGTGGTGCTGGGGAGACAAAGGCCATGTTTTACATGCAGGATACCCTGTCCGGAAGACATCAAGCAGGAAGCTCGGAGGAGGTTGCAACTGAGAAGACAGAACAGCTCTCCCAGCCTGACGCTCCATCATGCCAGAGAAAGCCAAGAGATTGTCAAATCCAGAACCACTGGATCCCTGAAGGGATGTGATGGGGAGACTGAAGCCAAAGGGGCGGGAGAGCTGAGCAGAAAAGGACACTGTAAAGGGAGGCTCTACATCCCTACCTTTGAGGAGTTCAAAAGAATGAGAAACAAGGAGACATGTTTATCTGCAGGTACCAATGAGCCAACAAAGTGCCTGAGTGAGGGGTCTCTGGCAAGCCAGACTCTGGAAAGGGAAAACCATAAGAACATCTGCACAGCTGCGCCTCAAGAAGCCCTGGAAGCTAAACTCACCAGCAATTCCACAGAAACAGCGGATGACTCCGATGACGTGTTTCATGAAAGCCACATTTCTGCTGGCTCTGTCCATTATCGAGACATTCCAGCCACGTGGGGCAGCTTCAGTTTGCTCAGCGGAGCTGGAGCTAACCAATGTCTGCTGAAGGATAGTAGCGAGCAGTTATCAAGTGCCGATACGTCCCCAGTCCCTATTTGCTCTAGCCCGATTCCACTATCACCTTTGCCAGCAATAGCAATCCATGGGCAGGGGGAGGAGGTCTGCAGTGATGAGCAGCAGGGATTAGACTTGAGACAACTGAGTGGAGTCCTTCACTTCGCTGGACAGGCACTGGGTTCTGAAGCCCAGTCTTCTTGCTGTCCATCGCTGCTGTTAGAAGCCACAGACCTATCCAGTTACGGAGCTAAGCTACAAAAAATGAAGGATGAGTTCATAGGCTCAGCACTGGATCTTATTAAGAAAAGGTAAAATTCCCTGTTGGGACCCTGAAAGCAGTCCTGGTTGAGGGGTCTACGTCTCTCTCCCCGTACGTACGTGCAACTCCCATTGGCATGAGTACTCTGCAGTTATACACAGCCACTCAGCATAGGACCTCGGAGTTACACAACCTAAACCCAACAGATATGACTATTTATTAGTTGTATTATCACAGTACCTAGGCATAAATCGGATTCCCATGTTTCCACTATTTTTTAATCCTAATAGAAGTAGGTATTTGACACAAACATTCCCTTTAGTTTTGCAACACAAACTTTACACTATTCTGCCAGTACCTGAGTTTTACACAGAGGACACTCATAAGGTCAGCCCTCTTTATCAATGAAAGAGAGATATGCACCATGTTTGCTCCCCTAGGGAACAATTATTTACATTGGGTTTGATAATAAACAGAAGTGTTTTTATTAAGTACAAAAAGTAGGATTTAAGTGTGTGCAAGTGAAAACAGACATTTCAAAGTAAGTTACTAAGCCAAAAAAACCAAAACACACCAGCTAATCCTAATACACTATGAAACTTGCTACATGCAAATTCTTAGTATGTTCTAATTCTCTCTCTCATAAGTTAGGCAGCCTCCTAGCTTTGACCCAATCTTTCTCCATTTCAGTCTTAGATATTTCCAGCAGGCATCTTAGATGATAAGTGGGGGGTCTCCTGACATCTGGCAACTCCCTCTATTGTTTGATTTCCCTGTTTATATCCCTTTGCCCAAGGCGAGAATGCTTTTGTTCAGTTCAGGTTTTTCTTACCTTGAGTGGAAAAGTACCAGACCCAACATGGGTTCCAGCATCAGGTAGCCTGGCCACATGTCTTCGTAGGAGCAACCACTGTTTGGACTTACAGGAAAAACAAAACCATTCACAAGTTGTTAACTTGACCACCAAGTCATCAAGCTCGTAAAGTATCACTGATGGCTTTTACTGGTATATATCCACTAATAAAACCAGTTTCTACTTAATATTTCTAATTTTACATACAAGAAAGATACATGCACAGGAATAGGACATACAGATTCAGCAAATTACAACTTTCAAAATGACATGTTACATCACCCATTTTGCATTAAGTGTCTTTGAGTTATGCATATTTGTATTCATAAGCTAATTTTCATAAAGCTGGGGGGCACAACAGAGGAATCTAGCTGGAGTCTCAGGCTTGTAACAAAATCCAAACTCACCACTTTTACTCCCATGTCACTTGAGAGGGCACAGAAATAGTTGGGACATACTCCTGCTCCCACTGAAGGGAGTGAGGCCCAGATGTATTTATGCTCCTAACACCCATTGACATCAAAGTTAGGAGCTTGACTACCTTTGTGGATTTGGGCTGACTTTGGCTCCATCAGGAGCAGGAGTGGGCCTTTGAAAGATGTGCTGATGAACACATCAGTGAGAATCACGTGTCTCCTGGTTTTACATGCCCAGTTACAGTTCTACCAAGCAGTTTTGTCTTTAATTAATGGTACCATTAATTCCCTCCCTGGTAACCCACAATTATTTACTTTAGACTCATGTAAATGTTTAATAGTTTAACATTGAACATTTATTTGATTTGTGACTTTGGGATGGTGGAAACCTATAAGTCTCTCATGAACCATTTAATCCCATTGGCTCACAGAAGAGTCCCTGCTGGGAGGAGACAATGGTTTACCAGGGTAAATCCTACTTAGGTGTTTACATGTAAATTGCACTTTCTGAGCTATCTAAGCCATGTGGAATCAGTATCCAGGGCAAGGGCCCGCAAAGAGCTGGGGACTCTTACATTGTTCAGCTATGCATTTGGGAGGACGAGATAGAAATGAGATCATCTATTGAAGGAAAGCCCAGGGCAAGGGCTGTTCTCCTGCAGTCTCTCTCTCCCTAGGGGAGATGTTTAAGGAGAAAGACCCCACAGGAGAAAAAGTTGGTAGATGAAAGAGCTGTTGTCAAGGGCAATGAAAAGCAAAGCCAACGAGATCAGGGAAAGTGTAAAAAGAGGTTCAGAGGGAGACTGCACAGCCACATGGAACCTCTCACTTCCCTGCATAGTTCCCTGCCTGCCTGAAAGCTTAGCGTGAAGGTGGACCAACTTCAAAAATCAACCCATCAGACCAATTAACCTCTAAACAGCCCAAGAGATTTTACCCTTTGGGTGGAGCAGTGCCAGAGACTCCATTAAGTCCACTGGGGACTTTGCTACTGCTGTCAACTTTATGTGACAGGTGCTGAGATGCTACAGTGATGGATAAAACGCTGTGGCTGATTGAGAGACAGACAGTGCTGCTGCATCTTTGCTGGGCTCTGCCTCACATATTTCTTCCCAGCTGAATTTTCTTGTGCTTTGGCCTGCAACTGAGTGTGGCAACCTCGGATCCCAAAGCACACAAGGCCGGGATGGATAGCACTCCAGGCTCCGAGACACAAAACAGCTCAGCTAGGAAGAGTCGTACTGGGGTCCAGAACAGAGGCAGCTGGGTCCTGAGCGTGGTAATATGGTAGAAAGCGGGTGGTACTATGGAAAGGCTCACAATATGGTGTCAAGTGTGGCACATTCTGGATCCAACACAAACTGCAGCATCTTGCCCACTGTTCACCAGTGGGCCATGACTAGCAGACAGCATAGATGATTTTAGAGAAGACAGTGAACATCCGGCAGGAACAGCTCTGAAGGAATAAGGCTAGCATGTGGCTAGAGGAAGGAACGTCAGATTGGGTCAGTATAAATGGGAAGAAGCAATGGAGGATGCTGAGAGGGAAGATGAATAACCCAGAAGATGCACAAGGGAATGAAGTTCTGAGGCCTAGAGAAGAGAAAACGAACTAGGTATAGTGCTTTGTGTATGAACTGAGAACAACAGCCCTAAGTTAAGGGGCTAGCAGAGACGTTGGCGTCCTGGCAAGAGGGTCTTTAGAAAAGGAAATGAACATCGCTAAGGACATGGGTGAAAGCTAGAACAATAGAGGGAACTCTGGAATAACTGAAAGGGAGCAGGAAGGTCAGCGAAGCTGGTGGATGGAAGAGTTCGACTATCAAGAAGATGTTGTGGAAGACTCTGGCCAGAGTTAGGGAAGAGTCTGAATGAGCCAAGTGTGTGAGGAAAGAGAATTTTAGATTCTGGAGGAATATCTGATGAGAGGGGGAAAGAGGGCCCAGTGGAAGTGGTGGCAGATGAGGAGAAAGGAAGGAAGATCACTTCAGAAGCATTGGCTAGAGATGGGCTGGGAATGGGCCTCTGCTATAGTATTCAACCATATTAGTATTAAAATGAGCACATGTAGATAGCAACCTTCATCAAAAGGGCCCCACTGCAGCTTGCAAACGTCCTCTCTTACAGAGGGAATTGCTTTACCCACCACTGTAATGCAACCACATCTGCGGTGGTGAACGGGGCACTGCACAGAAAATTAAATCAAAAAGGGGAGAGCACTGTATGGAGTTAAGATTCCAGGGGGCCATTTTTAAAGAGGCAGTATGAATTAAAAGCAGGCTCAGGTGACAATATCCCACCATAGGTAGACTAATCCCAAAGAGTCGTCCCTTTGTGGAGTTCCCACAGGAACACGACTTAGACAAAGATAAGATAGTGTGGGTCCTTTTAGCGGATTTGAAGGCAAACAGCAGTAGGCAGTCTGCACTAGGTATGGTGTCAATTATGTAATCATCACCTTCCCAGCCACAGCGCTATGTCAAACAGTAACAGACAAAGGATGTCTATGCCATGGAAACATCACAGAGGTCACATTTAAAAACCCGAGAGGCAAGGAGCAGGCCCTGGGCGGCCGCTGCGCACCAACGGGTGCTGTCCAGCTGTGTGAGAGTGCAAACACACTTCCCCTTTGCACTCCTCTGAGCCTGCTTCAGGGTGCACAAAGTGGGCTGCCCCTGCACAGGTTGGAGCCTAAGCCAAAAGCTCAGCCAAGGAAGAATCCCAGCTCACCCCTCTTGCTGCAGAGGGAGAAGGAATGGCAGGAGAGCTCCAACTCTGTGGTGCTAAAGGATCATGCTTGCAGCACTGGGAAGAGCCTCCTTGGACTGGTGAAACCAGCCCAATCACAGTGCAGCAGCCACAGTGGGGAAAGCAGCATTAACTCCGGTACATTGCACAAGCAGCGTATTTTGTGGTGTAGCTCCCACCGCAACACCAATAACCTGTGTAGTGAGCAAAGCAGATATAAAGAAAGCTGCATTCATATGCAGCGTGGATACTGCGGTAGGAATCAGAGCTGTTGCGTTTCTTACCTGTAACTGGCCAACCCTAGTGCAGATTTCATTTCTTCACTCTAAAGTAGTCTATTTTTTGCACTCTTTTCTCATTCAAAACCACCTGGACACTCCCATTTCCCAGGGAGGGTCGCCTTTGGAAATGTTTAGAAGAATCAACAAATATATAAAAGCCACAAAAACTCAAGCTGCGAGTGAGCTCCCCAAACACCATTCCCAGAGCACATTTCATGAGAAGAGCTCCGAGCAGTATGCAAACATGAATGAATGATCACAGCTTTGTGAGTTAAGTCTGTATGGTCTGGTGGATAAGACACTGCAGAGGGAAACAGGTGATATGAGTTCCATTCCTGACTCTGCTGCTAGGAGAGCTTGGGCAAATTGCTGCCCACCCTGGGCCTCAGTTTCCCTTCCCACTTTTTGTATGTTTAGATTGGGGCAGGAAAAATCTCTTGCTTCATGTTTGCACAGTTCCTAGCACAGTGGGTCCCTTATCTCAGTAAGGGATTTTAGAGGCCACTGTAATATGAACAGCATCATAATTTTGTTATTCCCATTCTACAGAGGGGACAATAGAGGCATAAAGAGTGACAGGGCATAACAGGATCCACACAGCAGGTCAGTGGAAGAGTCAGAAATAAAACTCAGGGGTCCTGATTCCCAGCCTTCTGCTAGCATTGCACGATTACAGTGGCAATCTATACTATCACAATCATACGCAAATTGTGCAAATCCTCTTCTGGTCCAGCTGAGATCTAGAAGCACAGAAGTGTGTGAAAATGAAAATACTCATTTGAAAAATTACCCAGCTATTCAGGCCTAATAAACTCAAATTCAGTCTGAGTTCTCACTTTCTTAGGACCAGATTCAGGTTGGGGTCTGTGCTCATTCTCTTTAGCTGAGCCGGTTCACTCATCCCTAATTATAAAGGAAGTATCAATGTGTGACAGTACTGGGAGCTGCAGTTTAGCCGCTGTCAGACGTCAGCAGTAGCCTAGGAGTAAAAAGCTATGAAAAGAATAAGCCGTCATGCTGAAAGGTATTGGTTAGTCACAAACACTGATATTTCAGTCCCCTGTATCTCCCTGTTCAGTTACACCAAGGTTGTCTGTATACGGTCCTGAGGGACAGCCCTTCTTGTTAAAGGAATTTGAACCCAGGGAAATGAAACTTCCTCTTCCAGAGTGCCTAGTGATATAAACCCAAAGCAAAGTCCTCATGAGCACTCCCCTCCTATTCTTCACCCATTGATTGGCTCATCTATCAATATTCCACCAAATCCTGTTCCTGTCTTCCCTAGAAATGACTTATTTTATTAGAGACACTGGCCATTTAGAATCATAGAACCATAGAGCTGGAAGAGACCTTAGAAAGTCATCAAGTCCAGCCCCCTGCTCTAAGCAGGACCAATCCCAACTAAATCAATTTAAATTGAGTATGCTTTTTAAAATGAGTTCAAAGCAGTGCCAGACACTACAGTCTCCTTCTGGGCCAGTTTTTATGGTTTTATAGCCACTCTTTCTGAGTGGTTACCACACAGAGTGGGACCTGACTACAAAGAAACGGATCATTCCCAAAATGTAAGCGGTACAGCATGGAAATGTTGGACTACAGGCTTCTTTAAATGCTACCAAAGGGCTTGGTCCAAAGTCCATTGCCCTCAGTAGAACTCTTTCCAATTACTTCAATGAGTTTTGAATTAGGCCCATATTTAATAAGCTGGAAAAAAATTAAGGGTAAAATATTTTCCTGTTTAACTTATAGAACTATTAGGGCTTGCTTGTCCCCGTAGAAGGTAACATTTTTCACATATGTAATATAATTTGTATGTTGACAGTGTCTCTTTGAATAACAGCAAGAATGTAACTGGTCTTAAAAATATGTTTCTGGTCTGCATTGGGGGTTCCTCATAATTTACAAACAAAAAATGTCCCATGAGTCTACGAGACATGTGCAGTTATTCTGCATTTGCACTGCTGTGAGATCTGAGCTCATTTTGGATCCTTAAACCACACACGTGTTTTATTAAAACAAGAGAACAGCGCAAACCCTTCCTGTCTGGATTCTTCTTTGAATGAGGGTGCTCAGATTTCAGATTACCTCCTAGCTCCTAGGTGTGGCTGCAAATGCAGGTAGATGATGTTGATCGGTATCTGCTCCTTCCCTTGCAGCTGCAGCGCAGAGACTGCTGCCGACTCCCCAGCCACAGAATCATGTGACCCCAGGAAAGCTGATCTCTCTTCTCTGGAGGACAGTGACCAATACGCAGTAATTTCCATGGCAACGCGGAGGTGGAAAAACAAGCCAAATGATGAGATACCTAGTGACATTCAACCTACAGGAAGCGTAAGGAAAAATTCCTCTTTGACCCCAGGCACGTGCCTGGCACTGGGCACCAGCCACCATTAGTGTCTAATCAGTGAGAGAGTCTGGGGGATACGAACGAGGCTGATTTCTGACTGCAGGCATGGAGGTAGAAAGGAAAGTTGTAAATCAATTCTGCTTTGTTAAATGATGCTTTCCTGTTGCATTATTTTTAATTCAATGATTTTTCCTGGCAAGTTCTAGTGTAAAAGGCACTAGTTCTTCCCTCCCCTCTGTACAGGCCACCCCTGGCTTGCTGAGGCCGGAACACCACTTTGTGTGTGTATAATCTCCAAATAACCCCCAAGGACTTCCTTCCACCTCCCCACCCCCTCGAGCGCAGCACGGACACTCGCTGTGTAACCAACTAATCATACATTCAAGCTCTTTTAAACAGTGAGGGTTAGTTTTTTAAGATGTGGCTGAAACAGGACCTGTTGAGTGACTGATCCATCTGAGTGTGCGTCTACAGTGCAGGGCTTAACTAGAAATAAGCTATGCAAATTGAGCTATGTCAATTGCGTATCTTATTTTGAAATAGGGTGCGTCTGCACAGCACTTGTTTCGAAATAGAGCACTCTTCCTCCGACTTCCCTTTTTCCTCGTACAGTGAGGGTTACAGGAGCCGGAGTAAGAAGTCCTCCAGCTTGACAGTATTTCAACACTATTTCGAAATAGCTGCCTGCTGTGTAGACGCAGACTAAGTTATTTCAGAAGAGCGTTGCAGTGTAGACCTACCCTGAGCCTGGCAGAGACAGTGGGCTCAGTCTTACTCTGCTGGCACTGGTAGCTGTATTACAGCAGTGCCTAGATCAGGACCCCATTATACAACCGCAGAGAAAGAGAGCAGAAGAGGACACAGAGGTGATCCATGATCCCACAACAGAGCTGGGTTTTGAACTCAGGTTTCCTAACCCCCATGCTGTGGTCCTAGCCCCAGACTGCACAGCCTCCCTCTTGAGTGGCAGCTTTGCCATTGACTCAGTGGCAGCAGGATCGGGCTCTGTCATTGCAGCCTGCAGAGCGCCTGCTGTCTCTATCGCTGCTTTCAGCTCCGACTGAGCTGTACATCATTTCCCTGCCCCTGTCCTAATGCCACTTGCCTTTGTTGCAGAGTTCTGGCCCCAGCTGCCGCAGATCCAGCTTTGACATTGCCCAGGACATTGCAGGCTGCACCAAAGCCCAGCGGGAGTGCCGGCTGCGGCCTCATTTCAGCGACCCCATGCCAACGGACGCTGTGAAGAGAAAACAGCTGGAGCTGAAGATAGCTGCAGCAGCCCGGCAACACGCGCAGAAGCGCCGGCAGGAGAGAGACCACGGTACCTGCGCCGGTACCTGCATGGAACGGCTGGACTGCCCTGGCCCTTCCTTGGTCTAATTGTAACAGGAGACCCTGCTCCCTCAACAGGGGCAGTGTAGAATTCAGTGGTGATGGGCCAGATCCTGATCTCCGTTACACTGATGGAGTAACTCCACAGACTTCAGGGGCGTTCTGGGCTTACACTGGTGTAAAGGATTCAGAATCTGGTCGCGGGTGTTGTATAAATGGAGCTTGGTGATGCTGGTGTAGCCTGGGCTAGCCCCAGAGTGGAGGGAGGGGGCCCTAGCAGGCATGTGAACCGACTTAGCCATTTCTGTACCACCCCACAGGATCCCCTCCTGCGGAAGACTAGCAGGAAGGGGACATGGCCAGGCTTCCTATGCTCTGGCTAATCCCAGCTGCCCCAAAGGCCATCAGGGACTGTGGGCAGCTGGGTTCGACTTAGGGCAACTCCTGCTCTCACCTCCAGAACGGGCTCCCAGCTCTGACACAGAGATCCAATGGCCCTACTAGATACAAAATCTGCACTGGCATAAGGGAGAGGAGATTCGGTCCAAAGCCCCTGCTCCTGGGGGAGGCAGCGCCTGGAACTGCCCTGCCCTGAGGGTGGGAGGACACGGATAAGAGGAGCTAATTGGTGTGTAGCCACAGGCATTCCCACCTGCCCGTTTATAGCACAGCACAGCATAGCACAGCACAGCAGTGGCTCTGCCTCTGCTCCCCTCCACGGCTTCCACTGCTCCCTGCAGCGCCTTCCGCACTGAGACAATGCAGCCCTCCCTAGCTAGGCCCCTCACTGCTCTGGGCCTCCAAACTCCACACTAAACACAAAGAAACTAACTCTTCGCTTCTCTTGGAGAGGCCCTGACAGGCAACAGCCTTCCCCAGGGGCGGGTCCCTGCTCTCCACCAGCTGAGCTGGGCTCTCTCTTTTTAGCCTCTCCCAGAAAGCCTGACATCTGCTTCAGGTGTCACACTTAAGGTGGATCGGGCCCTCAGCAGCCCATTAACCTCTTCCTCCCTTCTGTGCGATTTGCACAGCCCCTTCACAAGATGTTGTCCATAATTGATAACTAATAAAAGGGTTCCTGCACTCAAAGGTTCCTCTGGTAACTGGCTCCCTCTAGGTACACGTTCTGAATAACATCCCCTACCACTGTCGGCTTTATTTTTTAGCCTCAGCAGATCACAACCTTGAAACATCCATGGGGGAGGGGAGGGCAGAAGGGCTTATTATTTGCCTGGCACTAGACAGCATACCGAGCCCTGCAGAATAAATGGTGGGGAGAGAGCACAAGCCATTTCACAGAACCCAAAGCCCAGCGATGTCCTTGCTGCACTTCCCAGCTTGAATCCCTGAGCGACCGATGGTTATTAAAGGTCCATTGTAAGGGTCAGATCCCCAGCTGTTGTACACAGGGGTGGCTGTATTGACTCTGCTGAGTTGCACCAGCTAAGGATTGGGTCCTAGCTCAGTGAGTGAGCTGCAGCGTTTGAAGTCAGAGCTGACATGTGCACAAGCCCCGGTGAATCGGGGCTGTGTGTTTGCAGAGTCTCCTGACACAGGCACTAACAGGCGGGTGCAAGCCTCCAGCTTGGAGTGTGCTGAGTGAGCTCTTCCTATTCTGAGCCATGTTTGTGTCTGTGCTTTGCGCAGGTCCAGTGGTGGCTAAAGCAAACGCCTCTTATGGCAGCAGCTTTGATGAGAACAGCCATGCCCCACGCAGCTCCCTGCGATCCAAGCACCGCTGGAGCAACGTCAGCAGCCTGAGCGCGGACAGCGGCATCGTTGGCCTAGCCGACGAGAAGGATGATGCCGAGGCCGGCGGCACGACCAGAACCAGAACAGCAGAGGTGGAGCGGGCAGATAGCGGCATCGGCCAAGCACTGGCCAGGAAGTGGAAAAACAGGGCTTCTGAAACACTGACCTCCTTGCAGGCCTGGGAGGCGCACCGGCCCTGCACGGACTGCGGCGAGAGAGATTTCCCAGTGGAGACAGACACACAGAATCAGAACAAGAGACGAGACCTGTGTGCAAAGTGCCAGAAGCGCCGGACAGAGCGAAAGGAGTCGATCCTGGAGTTCGTCAACACAGAAGCCAGCTACGGCGAGGACCTGCGGATCATCAAGGAGGAGTTCTACCTCCCCATGCAGTCGGCTGGGCTGCTGACACACGAGCAGCTGCTGGTGGTGTTCAGCAATATCCAGGAGCTGATTGACCTCAATGAAAATTTTCTAGAGTATCTCCAGGAGGAAATTGACCAAGCCTTTGATCAGGTACCATCCCTGCACTCAGCTTTGCTTCTGCCCTTAGGATCAGTGGCTGGGTCAATAAGGCCACATCATAGTAATAATTGAGAGGCAGCATTGTCTGGTGGTTATGGCACGGGACTGAGGATAGGACTCATGGGTTCTGTTTCCCAGTTCTCGGCCTCTTACCAGTCAGCACTCTGTTCAAAGGCCTCTGTCTCAGTTTTTTCTCATGCATTGAGTGCTTCTCTGGCTGTCTCTGGGGCTTCTTTGATGCCCCCTGTGGCTGCCTTTGTGGCATTTTTCCTGCTTCTCTATCTCGTGCACACAGCTCCATCAAAAATACCAAGCCTCCTGCTTTTGCATTCGATCCACAAGCAAACCCCTCCACCCATGTAGTTCAGCTCCCTGACCAGCCTTGCAGGTGGCTTGTGTTTTGGGTGGTGGCTCCTGTTTTTTAGTTGTTTATTCCATCAAGGAGCTGAATTGCTTCTTACATTTATCCAGCAAGAAGGGCAGCTGATGCACCAACCAGCTTCAATGAGGTTTCACCTAACCACCAGTGTAACGTTACCTCAAGTGGGGAACACAGTCCCTTCAGAATAGCAAGCAATACAAAAGTTACATTAGAGATTGGGGCCTCCGGGAGTGTCGCCAGCTCTGGGAGGAGCAACCAGACACTGGAGGACCCTGCAGAGTGGGCATAATGAACATAGGTCCAATAATGTCCAACTCCAGTCAAACCACTGGCTCCCACTATCTTAGAAAGCCCCAGCCTGTGGAAAGCGGGCAGTGGTCTATGACTGTAGAAGTCACTCGGAGCACAGAGCCTGTGTTCAGGAGGTCAGGTCCATGCGGCATTTGCAATACCTTCCAAGCTTTCGCAAGGTGTCTCAAATGAAACCTCTGCAAACCCACATCATGTTGGAAACCCAAAGCACCTTCCCAACCCACTACACAGGCTGGCTCCAGTGTGGGTTCTGCAGCCCATGTCACTTCACCAGCCAAATTCAAGATGGATTATCATGTCACAAGGGCTGTGTCCAGACTCCATGCCTCCGTCGACGGAGGCATGTAGATTAGCCAGCTCGGAAGAGGGAAATGAAGCCGCGATTAAAATAATCGCGGCTTCATTTCCCTCTTCCGAGCTGGCTAATCTACATGCCTCCGTCGACGGAGGCATGTAGATTAGCCAGCTCGGAAGAGGGAAATGAAGCCGCGATTAAAATAATCGCGGCTTCATTTCCCTCTTCCGAGCTGGCTAATCTACATGCCTCCGTCGACGGAGGCATGTAGATTAGCCAGCTCGGAAGAGGGAAATGAAGCCGCGATTAAAATAATCGCGGCTTCATTTCCCTCTTCCGAGCTGGCTAATCTACATGCCTCCGTCGACGGAGGCATGTAGATTAGCCAGCTCGGAAGAGGGAAATGAAGCCGCGATTAAAATAATCGCGGCTTCATTTCCCTCTTCCGAGCTGGCTAATCTACATGCCTCCGTCGACGGAGGCATGTAGATTAGCCAGCTCGGAAGAGGGAAATGAAGCCGCGATTAAAATAATCGCGGCTTCATTTCCCTCTTCCGAGCTGGCTAATCTACATGCCTCCGTCGACGGAGGCATGGAGTCTGGACACAGCCAAGGGGAACGGGCCGTGTAAATGAGTCTGGGATTAGAAAGGACAAATAGGGCTCTTGCAAATGTGTTTCTGTGCTCAACGGGGACTGTAAAACTGACATCATGGGGCAACATCCTTATTGTCTCTCCATCACAGGTGCTCAGCCTACACAGAAAAAATGTTCCATGTAATGCCTGCCCCGCCCTGCAAACTCAGCCTGGAGCAGGGAGTCAGAGGGATTTTTCCTTTTCGTACATTGTCACCAATCAAGACTCTTCAAGCCAGATTACACTCTTTATTTATGCACGGGTGACTCCATTAGTAGAGCTGGTGGAAAGCAGAATTGCTGATCTGTGGAAAACACTACATTTCAAATCCAAGCATGTGACATTGTTTCCACTGAAAATGTGTTAAAAATTGACATGTTCCTGCAAAATATGTTGACGTTTACAAAACACCATTTTGCAGTGGAAAACTGCCCATGACAAATGATTTGAGCAGCTCTACCCATTAGCCACACAGAGAAACCGATCTGAGCTTGGTACACAGAGCTGTTGATCCACCAGAAAAAGGGATGTAAATGTAACCAGCAAGCCTCACCCATTAAGGGTCAAGCTTACAGGTTCCGGTTAACTGGCAGGGGCTGGAGTAGCTCCCTGCCCACCCCGGACAGGGAGCTGCTCCAGTCCCACAGGGCCCACACACCGGCTCCCTCGGAGCAGGGTCGGCAGGGGCTGCCAGGCCTATTCTTGGAGAGCCAGCTGCAGAGCCCACAGCAAAGCCTCCTGGGAGCCGGCTTCACTGCTGGCCTTACTGGCCCCAATCCCAGAGAGCTCACAGCGCATATAACTGTGAGGATTTTTAGCAGTTACGCAGTTCCATTTTTAAACAACTTTTTACATCCTTAACCAGAAGGGACATTCGCCCTTAGCCAGGTTGACACTGCAGGGCTAAGAACCACTAAAAAAGGTGCAGATCTGACACAGAAACCCTGAGAAAAGATTTGCTAAGCCAGAAGGTGCCATTTTTACATAGTCATTTTTCAGTAGAAAAAAGGAAATTTCATGGTAAATAGCTGTTTCCTTTCCATGTGTGTAATGAAATATGATCCAGAATCAGGATATGGTGCCAGATAAGACCACACTTGAAGCCAACCAATTCTGATCAATTACGTAACTGCAAATCTAGAAAACCAAAGCTGTGAGGTTAACTCCAGATTTATGTAAGGATACCTGAGGGCCAAAGCTGGCTCTGTGATGTGCCAAATTCCATTTAGCCTGGCTGCTGGGGGCTTTCAGCAAACATTGCTTAAAGCTGAGGGCATTTTGCACAGACAGTTTGCTGGTCACCCTTAATGTGCAGCATTGTATGACACCCCCTCATCTGACTCTCCCCCACAGCACAGCACAATGCAATCACTGCCACATGGCTGCAGGGATGCTATCCCAAGATACCCAGCCCACTGATACAGAGATTGTGGGGTGGGACAAAACATAAGCCTAGTACAGCAGGGGTGTACAGGTGACAAGCTCAGACTTTCTGCTTTCTTCATAGGGAACACAATCCATTAGCTGCAGTATTCAAGCCGGAAGTTTACATACTTTGGAGACCACCTCCTCCCCCAACACACATATATGTAAACCATGCCACATGCATGTCTTTAATTGCAATGACTTCCATAACACAGTAGCCAGGCCCCAGGTTCCTAGCGTCTTCCACAGGAAGAACAGACATGTGCCAAGTCAGAATTGCCTGTCAGCAATTTCTCAAGCAGATGGACAGTGAAAGCAGCTGTTGTTTGTATTGCCAGTTGCTCCCCTCTGGCTGCCTCTTTCTTCCTTTGTCTGTAGCCCTCTTTGCCACCGCAATATATTCCTGCACTAAAAGGCTACAGGATTATTACCTTTCTCACAGCAGTATCACAGCACGAACTCCAGGGTACTGGGTATGCAAACATCTGAGCCAGCCAATGGCCTTGCCTGGCACCAAATTCTTATTCTGTGTCTTATTTTATTACATGCATAGAAAGAAAACAGCAATTTACCATGAAATTTATTTTTACAAAGCATTGCAGAGTCCCATCTCGCCCAGAGGAGAGCCATTAAAGGCACCTTGGTGCACCAGCCAGCCCCGATAGCTCAGGACAGAGACAAGGCAATCCCTGAACAGTACCTGAGTTACGCTCCACTCCTGCCCACTTTTCTCAAACCTTGTCTGTGTCATTTACGAGCCCTGGTGTCAGCCCTCCCTGGCACTCCTTTGTGGCAAATGGGCAGCAGTACTAGCTCTGGATCAGCCCGCTGGGGAGAATAGGGATGTAAGCGACTACTCGACTATCCAATAAGCAAAAGCTTATCGGATCGTTGACTAGTCCCTCAACTAGTCACTTCCCCCCTACTTGCTGCCTCTATCAAAAGCTGGTTCCCCCCAGCACCATCTCGATGGGGGGCAGGGAGACAGACATGCCTCTGCTTTTTAAATGTATCAAGAGCCTACTGTCTCTTAATACATTTAAAAATAAGAAGCATGGGGGGGGGACCCGGCGTGAGCTGGGAATCAGATATCCGGGCTCACACTGGGTCCTTCCTGCTGCGCTTTAGACATTTAAAAGGGAGAACCGCAGCGGGGTTAGCTCCCAGGGTCGATAAGTGGGGGAGCTGCAGCGGGGTTAGCACTTAAAAGTTCAAAGCGGTACCATGGCAGCACTTTCAACTGAAAGTGTGGCCACAGCAGGAGTGTAGGAAGAAAGCCCTCCCAGCAATCTATGTAAACTACCTCTACCAGGGGAGTAGCTAACAGCGCTGGCAGTGAGGCTCCCAGCGCTGTACCCTGGTTCACGCTAGTGCTTTACAGCGCTGTAACTTGCTGTGCTCGGGGGGGGGGAGGGGATGTTTTCTCACACCCCTGAGTCATAAAGTTACAGCACTGTAAAGTGCCAGTGTAGACAGGATGGATGGGGATGGGCTCCCATGGGAGCCCTGAAAGGAGGCACTTCAGCAAGACAAGGGTGACTGTGGCACAGAGCACAAAGGGGAACAGAGTGGAGGAAAGAGAGGATTGGGCAAGTTTCCAAGAAAGATGGGGATCAGTTTCCTAGCAGGCAGATTCAGACCCCCAGAAACTTCATGATCTGTGTGCTTTTGAGGGAGGGAGGGTCCTGGGGTCTTAGCTAGGAGGCAGGAGGCTCCTGTTGGGTTATTGCCCTGGCAAAAAAAAAAAAAAACCATCAAGCTGGCAGATTCTGGCAAGTCCAAAGAACTTAAATAAGCAGCCCAACAGTTCTGCAGGCTGCTCTCTATCACCTACATTGCAGATGCTGTCAGCAGTACTTGGAAGAAAGCAGTTCAGCCTCAGGAGCAGCACTCTAGTATAGGACTTAGGAGATCAGAATGCTAGTGTCAGCTCTGCCACTGAAGTGTTGTGTAACCTTGGGTGAGTCACTTAGCCACAGCTCCTCATAGGTAGTTCAGCACCTAACTCCCATTAACATCAATGAGAGATATGCATCTAAATGCCTTTGAAGAGCTGGGCCATAGCCTCTGCAGCTCCATTTCTCTATCTGTGAAAACGGACACTCACTGTAAAGCGCATTAAGCTCCTGGAATTAAAAAGCAGGAAGGATTGTTTCCATTAAATTAGCCTTGGCGTTTCTTGCTGTCTTGAGCAATGTGGGAGATTCAATGTCCAATGAGCTGGCGCCTCTGAAAATCTGGTCCACAGACTCTTCTCATGCAGACGCTACCAGGCTTAGTAGTCTGACCTGCACACAAGGTGACTGCTTAGTGTAGTAAGTGCGCTGCCCACGAGGAAGCATGCCCAGGGTTGGCATCGGCCCAGGCGAGCCCCCGTCTCTCCTCAATTGACCACCTGGCTACTTGTGTGTCTGCAGGGTGACGAGGACCTGATGACCGTGTGCATTGGCGAGATCTTTCTGGAGTTTGTCAACATGCTGCCAGCCTTTCAGACCTACTGTCTGCAGCAGTCTTCTTCGGTGAACATGCTCAATGCCCTGGAGAAGGAGAAAGAGCTACTCAGGTAGGGGGGGCTGAGTGTGTCTGTCGTGGGCTATGAGAACCGAAGAGATTCAGAAAAGCATCAGCCCTGGCGCCTAGAGACTGAAGCCATCCATGTGGGAAAGAGGCAGTTCAGGCTTCCCAAGGTGCGTCACTTCTGGCCTGATGCGACTCCCTCTAGGAGCGAGAGGGTAATTCCCCCTCCTTAGCCCATTTGGTCTTTAGCCTTTCTGCTGGGGTACCCCACAGGGACACCAGTGGTGGTGGATTTTATGACACCGACACTTGTCCACTCAGGACTGGACTGAGGCCCAGTGAATTCATTTCATATGGGTCATCAAACAGTCCAAAATGGGAACAGCTCTCAGTCACTGCTTACCAATGCCATGTTTTCCACTGTATGGTAGACTCCTCAGTGGGAAGCGGTGTGGCCACGTACGTTTAGCACGGGAGAGGGACTCAGAAGCCCTGGGCCATATTCACAGGTCTGCCACTGGCCGCTGGGTGCCCTTGAGCACATCACATCACTGCTCTGAGCCTCAGTTTCCCCATCTGTAAAATGAGGATAATGTTACTGCCCTCCATTGCAAAGTGCTTTGAGATCTGCTGACAAACTGCACTGTATAAGAGCAGTAGTAGTATTGGAGCGGGGGTGGGAAACCTAAGGCCTGGGGAGCCTGTGCTGGCGCTCCAGCCTCCATACTGTCCCCACGTGCTCTCCCCTCCGCCAGGCTCTGGTGTGCAAGGGAAATGTGGGGAATCATCATCTTTTTTTTGCTTCTCACTTGTGTGCAGCCCCCAACTGATTTTTCTGAGGGTCAGTGGCCCCCAACCCAGAAAAGGTTCCCCAGCCCTGTAGTAGAGGGTCCAGGTATAACTAATCCTGACTCAACAGTGCAGGGTGATGAGCTGCTAGTGATCTCATGAGGTCCTTTCCAGCTCTGCATTTCTATGGTTATTATCAAATGCAAATTGGGGTACCAGTGAGGCTAGGCTGATTCCCTCCAGCTGTAGATCTGGCCCTAAACACTTTACAGTCCTTTGGTGGAGAACTGTTATCAAGCGAAGCGATTCGTTCCATAATGCAGTGCATCCCTCAGGTGCTGATGACAACTCTAAACTTAAGAAGTTCAGAGCACCAGAAGCCTGTGAAAGCCAACGGGGGTCCCAGGTGTTCAGCTCCTCACATCATGATGCCCTTGTAATGTCCAGGGGCTTAGGGGCATTCCAAAGCAGTAGTCTGGTGTACACGGCCATTGGGGAAATCCACGCCAGAGGCAGCGCAGGGCAATGGTCAGAGTTCTCTCAGGGATCAGTAGCTGGAAGATCCGATGCAAGGGGCTGGGTCAATGGGTTGAGGAAGGGCAAGGTGGCAAGGCAGTGTTAAGGGAGGTGGTGGTCTGTTCTTCAGAAAACTACCTCTTCCTGTTGGGGCCTTTATGTAGCCAACATACCCAGTGAGGGTGCTGCCTGATCATCCAATCAGAGGCCTCAGCATGCTGCCTGATCATCCAATCAGAGGCTTCGGCATGGTGCTGTGGGCTTGCAGGTCTTTAGCACTCAAGTCTGTCAGTCTGGGCTGGTGGTTCACTGTGGTGCATTGACTAAGGATGCTGTCTAAGGAGCTGGGTCCAATACCAGTGTTCTGACAGTCCTTCGTTTGCATTCTAATTTCATTGTCTGCTGGCAGAACGACCCTGGGATGATTCCCTTTTTTAAACCCCCACAGAATATTTCTCAACGTTTCCCAGAACGACAATACGGTGCTTCGGCGCATGAATCTGAGATCCTTCCTGATGGCCCCCTTGCAGAGAGTCACCAAGTACCCGCTGCTTCTCAGCAGGATCATCAAAGCCACCATTGAGTACCACCCGGATCACGGCAGCCTGCGGGAAGCCAAGAGCCGCATTGAGTCCCACCTGGAACACATCAACATGAAAACCAAGCAGGAAGGGAACACGTGGACCCTGCGCTCCTTCCGCCAAGACAGCAAGAAGAACAGGGAAGTCATCAACATTGAGATGAGGGAAACCGCCATCAAAACCATGGGCTGGCTGCGGGAGGAGACGCGCTTTGTGATGGAAGGGCCCCTGCAGCTTGCCCAGCCGCCTGATGGCCAATGGGTAAAGAAGGGCAGCAAGACCTTGAAATTTCAGAACATGCAGGTACTGCTTATGGTCAACATAAAGCGAGTGTCTGACTCTAGCCTTGAGGCTGCTGAGCTGGGACCCGTGAAAGATGCCGTCCTGGTGCTGATCCGGGACAAAAACAATGGGAAATTCAGTTTGCTCAGGGAACCCCTGAGGCTGAGTAACTGCGTCGTCTCCGCAGACCCCGACAGCAGTGATACATTTGAGCTCATTGAGATCAGGCGGGAGGCATTTGTATTCCGGGACGGGGACACAGCGCGAACTCACCACTGGTTCAGGCAGATTAGGAGATACTCGAGAGAGCTGGGTTCTTGGAAGAAGCGGCGGAATGCTCTGCCCAACATCATGATAAGCACATCCCATAACAGGTCTTGAGATCTAGGGAGAATGTTGGAAAAGACTGGGCTAAACCAGTGAGAACTGCACGGAACCGTCCCTGGACTCAAGGGTTGAATTCAACCCTGACTCTATCAACAATCGTGGAGTTACACCAGGAATAAGTCTGGCCTAACGAGGGTGATAAATTACTGGCAGCATTGCAACCGGCTATTACAGCCTCACCTGGGATTCCAGCAAGAAGGACTTAACATCCTATTTGTGACTCATTCGCCTATTATGATTAGACTTCTTATGAGGAGCAGGTCTCTGGAAAGAAACTAATGAGCTAAAGTTGTTAATATTGCACTGAGAGTTAATGGTGTCAGGTGCTTGACAGTACAGGGCTGTGATGAGGAGCTCATCTTGATCATGAGTAAGGTATCATTGTTGCACATATTTAATCAGCATTAAATAAAGCCAAGGTCAAAGGTTGGTGCAGTATTACTGAATGAAGGAGGAGGTTTGGACAGTATAACTCTCGAGTTTGACTGGTTTCCTCTCTCTTTCCCAAGAACTATATTTTATTATCTGATTCCTACTGAGTTCAGTGAAATATGCTGTTGGGGGGAGTGGGGGAATCAATTGTTCTCTTTTAAACCAAACAAAGCAGATGCAGATTTGCTCAGATTTAATCAGAGTTGTATGAAAGTACAAACCGAAAAAGCAGATGAAATGTACTCAGCTTTCTTTCCAAAATAATTGTAGAACACTCTGGAAGAGCAATATCCCCTACATTTAAAATCATCAGGTTTTTAACTGGCTTTAAGATATGTCAGAAGACTGATATAATGATACATCTGAAATATTTCAGAACTGTGGGTTTGTAAATAAGGGTCTGTAACCACTTCTAGTAAATTTCAAAGTCTGTGATTATTTAAAGATGTAATCTAGTGTATTTCAAAAGTTTAAAAAAGAAACAGTTTACATTGTACTGTAGTTTAACAACAAAATGTTTTAATAATTATGTTTCAATGATCCTAGATGGGTATTTTGTTTATTTTTGGGTCCACTTCTTTTCTAGGATTAGAATTTCATTGATTGCAGATTGTGTTTAGCTGAACAAGGAAACACAGACTGCTGTTGTTTGCACTCACTGAGCAAAATTTAGAGATGAGTCCAAGTAAGTCTATAGGAAATGTAGTTAAGATAATATACAGTTTCTTCTAGACTCAGTCATATTACACTAATTCTCACTAGATAACCTGGCATCAGTGTACAGTAGGCATAGATTGATAAAGATTGTGAAGGTGAAAGGCAGATGTGGTGAAACTGACCACAATATAAGAGTTCATGATTCAAAGGAAAGGGAAGACAGAGAGCAGCAAAATAAAGAAAACGGACACTAAAAAAAGCAGATTTCCTCAAACTCAGAGAGCTGATATATCTGGTCCCATTGGAAGGATCTCTAAAGGAAAAAGGAGTTCAAGACAGCTGACAATAAGAGAGACAATATCAAAGGCACAACGGCTGACTGTCCCAACATGGAAAAAAAGATAGGAGGAACAGTAAGAAACCAACATGGGTCCATCAGGAACACTTTCATTACCTAAAAATAATAAAAAAGACATACAAAAAGTGGAAATGAGGATGAATTGCTAAAGATGAGTATAAAATAATAGCACAAGCTCATAGGGACAGAATGAAAAAAGTTAAGGCACAAAATGAGTTAGATCAAGCAAGGGGCATATTAAGCAACACCAAGAGGTTCAGGAAATACATTAGAAGTAAGAGAAAGATTAAGGCAAGTATAGGTCCATTAATTAATTGGAAAGGAGACCAAATAAAGGACAACACACTGCAAGAATGCTGAAATGATTATTGCTTTTTTTGCTTCAGTTGTCAATAAAACTATTAATTGTAACCAGATGCTTCACACAATTAAAATTAACAGCAAGGAAGAAGATATCAAGGTAGAAAAGGAAAAGAATAGGCTAAAGAATATTCAAATAAAATAGATGTATTCAAGTTGGCAGGGGCTGATGAAATTCACTCTAGAGTATTAAGGAACTGAAGCAATCTCTGAATCATTAGTGATTACCTTTGAGAACTCACAGACAGCAGATGAGACCTCATAGAGCAGTGGTTCTTAACCTGGGGTGCACGCACCCCCTGGGGGTGCAAGATGCCCTTTCTGTGGGTGCGAGACATGCCAGATTTTTATGATATATCTTAGGTTTAAAGAACTGACCTACTTCAACGATTTTTAATTAGGGGCGTGAGAACATATTTTGAGAACCAAAGGGGTGCAGGCTGCAGTATCGTTAAGAACCACTGTCATAGAGCTACAGATAGTACTTATCTTTTAAATAGGTGGAAAGGTGGACATGATGAAATATAGACCAGTCAGCCTAACTTCAACACTAGGATAAAATACTGGACAAATTATTAAGCAACCAGTTTGTTCAAACCTGGAGAATAATAGAATGATAATCAATAGCCAACGTGGATTTGTCAAGAACAGATCTTGCCAAACCAATCTAATTCCCCTTTTGACAGGGTTACTGGCCTAATGGTTAGAGGAGGAAAAGTACACAAGGTATGTCTGGACTTTAGTAAGGCTGTTGACAGTGTCACGCATGACATTTTCAAAAGCAAACTGAAGAAACGTGGTCTAGATGAAATTACAGTGTGGGAGGTGCACAACTGTTTGAAAAAACTATTCAGAGAATAATTATCACTGGCTCACTGTCAAACAGAGGATGTATCTAGTAGGATCCAGCAGTAGATCTTTCTATTGTAGTACCAGACTGGTACTACTGAATATTTTCATTAGAGACTTGAATGATGGAGTGTATGTTATAAAGTATGTGGATAACACCAAGCTGGGAGGGGTTATAAGCACTTTGAACACAGCCAACAAGGTATTTTTGTTAATCCATCCAAGAAGGTTCATGTCTGAGAAAATACATGTGTGTATTTATCCTTTGATCCATGATGTAAATATTTAAGAAGATTAAGGTAGCCCTTGGGGCCCTGGGAATTTGCAAGTGCAACCTTCAGTCTTACAAAGTCTGATTACTGCTGAGTTAAATGATTCTGCAGAACCAGCAACGATCCAGCTCTGAGGATTTCTATTGTAGCTGCTGAGATGTTACTTTGCACCCTGACTGCTGATCCAAAGAGCAAAAGCTGAAATATTTGTCTACACAACAGTATTTTCTTTTTACCTGCACACCCTTTGCTTTGAGTTGCCTGTGACCTCCAAGAATTGCTTTCATAGTTCACTTTGAGGGGGATTTGCTGAATCCTTCTCACACATTACAAACACGTCACCCCAAGATAGATGGATGTCTTAGTCACTTTTGTCCCTAGCTGAGCTCTGCTGGCCCTATGATAGAGCAGATTCATTTTCACCATTCTTTCCTCACTTCAACTATTAAACTTTGAAATTTCTTGTTTTAATGCGGTTATTCATTTCATATTAAGAAATACACAACTGCAGGGGGCAATCCTATTAAGAAGAAATGGCCCAGGGTACACATTCCATGTTGTGGCTGCCAGAATTGCTCCTTCCACTTCCTAGACATACCAGGCTGGAGGTAAGTCTCTTCCTGCATTACAAGAGCTCATTAAAAAACATTGTACAAGAAGGTTCCCACACCAGGCATCCAGCCCATATTTGAAAGTCAAACTGGTTCCTTGTGTAAAGATCTGAGCACAGCCTCCAGCTCCTAGTACCATTAATACCTGCTTAATAACTGACAGATAGCTTTCGTTTTCATGTATTCTGCAATCAGCTTGGCATGGTTTTGTGGTGATAGAAAGTAGAATGTTTTCCAGATGACAGGATCATGATTTCCAGTAATTCATTAAGAACTCAAGGCTACGCACTGGGACCCTCTGCTCATTTGGATCTCTGGGACAAAGCTTTAGATGCTGATAGCACCGAAGCTGGTTTCAGCTCCTATAACAACTGTGCTCATTCCCCTCAATTGAAGTGTCAGAGCTTTGCCCTTGGTCTGTCAATGGTGACAGTGGTGTCTGTACAAGAATGACTGGTCTAGGAGATGCCAGTGCCCCCTCTTCTCCAAGACTAGTCAGTGCAGTAGTTTCTTTGAATCAGGGCTGTAACGTTAAGGAAAAGGCCCGGACTGTAGAACAGAATTTGCTGGCATCCTATTCTCACACACCATCCTTATCCCCCTTTCCTCCTCATTTGGCAGGGTGATTTGTGTGTCACTCTTTCAGCTGGAGAGCAGCATAGAACAGACTGAACCGGTGCTGCTGATGTAAATGGCAATGTTGCGGCAATTGCTATTTGGCAGAGTGTGCCTTGTTCCTCTTCAGTGGTAGCCTGAGCCTTTCCATTATTTAAAGTTCAGTGTAGCAATAATTTACATGTGCCCAACGGCACAGACAGAACATCTGGTGAATTGCCATGTGCTTTTCTTTAATGTGTTTCTTAGTGCTGTTTTTAAATAAATTGGCAGTTTCAGCGCCCCGATGTACTAGTTATAAAGGTTTTTCTGAGGTGCTAAGCACTCATAACAGATCCTCAGCTAGATCAGTCTGAAACTGCCAAACCAGAAGGACAAAGCAGTAAGATGTTGGCGGATCCATTTTCTCTCCCGTGAAGGAAAGGGTTAGACTCCTCCATTTCATTGCTTCCAGCAGGAGTTCTCTTAAGAGAAGATACAAGCTTAGTGATCCTAATAGCTCCCTCCTGTCTAACACTTGCTTTCACTATAAACAAATCTAAAAGATGTTAGGCTTCCACTGCCAGTAAAAGTTCTAGATCCTAGACAGGACACAGGGCTAGATGGACTATTGGCTGGCCCAGTGTGGCCATTCTTATGTTCTTAACAGTGGCTATTTGAGTAACTGGGTATCTTTCAATTGATGTGTGTCAGTTCTCCCAGACTGAGAGAAGCTGTTTTAAAGGAGCCTTTCACCTTAACTTGACAGAGCCTGCCATCTAGTGCAAATCTTGATCTTATTCTGTGCAACTGCTTGGATAGCCACATTTGTCAGATTCCAGGTATTTCTAGATTTCATGGCAAAAGCCACGTGAGCCCAATTCTTAGTAAAACAGGCCCATTCCCTCTAGACAAGATAAAGGGAGGCCTCATTAAGACACCAAATAATGTATCAGGGGTACATTACTATTTTTGTAGGAGAAAAAATGTGCTTGGTCCTGTACAACTATATAAGGACTGAATCACTAAACTAAAAAGTTTATAGTTACAGAGCTAGGTACATTAGTCTTTGTTTAGTACAGTGTGTCAACCAACAGATCAAATGGGGGAGCTTAGAGAGGGTCTAGTTACATTTTAAACAATATTTGCCTTTAATGGATCCTCTATGTACTCAGCTGCTCATCTGCTTTTAATTTACAGCTATTGAAAGGGAATCTGCATATGGACTAATTTCCGAGGTGCTGAATGTTTCAATTCTACGAATCAAGTACAGGAAGCAAGTAAGAAGAAAGACTCATTGCAGTTAACAAGGCCCTAGATTTCTGGTCTTGCTAGACATTTTATAAAGCCAAATCTGGACCATCCATCTCCAGAGAGGCATCAACTAATTCAACATCATGTGCAATGTGACTTAATCTGAGCCATTAGAAATAAGGGGAAAATATAGCACAAATATTTCAGCAACCTGGACGAAAAGATCTTGTAAGCATTAGGGAGCAGGATGCATAAAAGCCAACTAGGCAAACAACTTGTTCAAAGCTGCTCTCAAGTCCTTAAAATGACCTCTCAGAATTGTGACACTCTGCATAGCAACATTCAGCATATTGTCCCTTTCCAAAGTGGACCATTCTTAGGACTGTCATTGTCTCTTTTAAAAGGAGGCTGCTGCTGCTATTGTATTCAGTCAGCAATCTTTTACTTTAGGAAATAACACAGCAGCTAGTCACTGAGCAAACCAACAGTGCAAGGTTAACTGTTGTTAATAAGCAGAGAGAAACAAATGAGAGGCAGGGGAACCTGCAGTTACAGATACCTGCCCTCAATTAATTAGCACCTGGTCCTGAACAGAAGCTAGGGGAGATATTAGACAGCACAATAGGCTCATCACTTCCAAAACCACACACCTGCTCACAGCCATGAACCCATCCCAACAAGCTGCTCAGGTCTCCAGACATCTCTTCTTTTAGCTTTCTATTAAGCAGCTATCCTGTGGCAAGCAACAACTTAAAAGAAAGGAAGCAGACTATGTCGGTGCCTTATGGGTCCACATCTGTGTGAATGCCCTGGGGCTCTGGTGTAGTTACTTTCCACCTCAGGTAATGTACCTAGCCAAGTCACTCTCCTAACTGAAAGGGCCTGAGTTCTACTCTTCTGTGCTAGAACACCTCTTAGCAGCACAGGGAAGGTAAGTTAACTGTCCAGAGGGAACTCAGGACAAGTCTCTTAGACATGAGAGCAACAGCAAAAGTTCCAATTGTCTGATTTTCCTGCCGATTCACTTAATCTACCAATTGCAGCAGACAGAGTTGATACTAAACAAGACAGCCTTTCTGGCTTCTATTGCCACTCTGCCCTCTATGCTCCTGCTCACCCCTATTTCCTGAAAGCTGTTGCAATCATTGCTCTGAGGGCCAGCACTTTCACTCCTCCCCAAGGACTGAGTAATTGTTTTCATACAGCACACAATCAACTTGAAATGCCCTTTATACGAGGCGGAGGAGTGACCTTAATGGGAGCAGGGCAACACAAGAAGCAAGCACGGAGAGCGCTCTCTGGAATATGCTCTTTGGGCAGAAGTGCTTCAGAAAAAAGCTTTGCTGGCTATTGAGTCATGCTTTCTAGTCAGTGCCTTTGCTCTGACTCACTCCCCTTTTCACTTGACAAGGAAGAGGGGGGAGAATTTGCTTAAAGATTCAGCATGAATCAGACCATCAAGAAGACTTGACCTGGCTAGACTTTTGCCCTCTTCAGGGAAGAACTGCTTCTCACCAAGCTCCTGGGCGTTGCTTGCCTTTTTTACCTACATGGTCTTTGGAGCAGAGACCATTGGGTATAGGCCACTCTCTCCTGCAAAATTAAGTTTTATGGGGGGATTGTATTTCCCTTTTCCCTCTGTCTAGGTCAGTGGCCGCTACCTAGACCTCATATGCAAACTCGGGGGCAGAAATATACTGTTTTCTTTGGCACCAAGTGCTAGGGAAGAGAAGCCCAAATTCTTTTATGCAGCTACAATTCCAGGTTTCCTGGCTACTGCTCTAATTATGGGGCTTTTCTGCCCCTCAAGATCATTAAAGAAACTGCTGCAGCTGCGTGTTGCAGGGCGGTGAGCAAGCTGTGCTGCTTCCTACAACCTAACCACTCACCAAGACAAGCATTTACAATGAAGAATGTGGCCTATACTTGGTAGCCTACAATGATGTGTTAGGGGACAGAGGCTACCCAGTGTTCCCCATACCCTGCATACACCTAGAGAGCAGGGGAGGGTTACGAGTCATCTAGCCCCAGGACCATCACACTGGAAAGACCCCTCCTGAAGATACAGAGAATGTTGGTAGAATGGGTGTGGTCAGAGAGGGACTTGAACTCCTGCTGCTTGCACAGCCTGAGAGGAAGCAAGGTGTAGTGGTCAGGATGCTATCCTAAAGGTCAGGAGACCTGTGTCCATTTCCCCACTCCCCCAAGCTTACTGTGTGATTGTAGGCCAGTGGCTTCCAACCTTTTTGAGCATACTGACCCCTTTTCAATCTATTAACATTTTACAGACCTCCCCCCCCAAACACCACAGTTGTGCCTGAAGCCTGCACATCCCTCAGCCCGTGCTGGCTCAGCTGAGAGGCTGTGTGCTGGCAGCCAGCACGTCTTTCAACCCAGGTTACTTCTCATATCTCAGGAAGCAACACAGGCTGAAGGACGTGCTGACTGCGAGAGGCACTGTACATTTATTTTAATTTCTATTTTAAACTTTTCATGGACCCCCTACAATACTGTAATGGACCACTAGGGGTCTGCAGCCTACAGGTTGGGAATATCTGTTATAGGCAAATGATCTCTGTACCTCCATTTCCCAGCTACAAAATGGCAGTAATATCACTTCCCTACCTCATGTGAGGATAAAGATACTCTAGATTGTGAAGCAAAATGCAGGACAATGTAGCACTTTAAAGACTAACAAGATGGTTTATTAGATGATGAGCTTTCGTGGGCCAGACCCACTTCCTCAGATCAAATAGTGGAAGAAAGTAGTCTCAACCATATATACCAAAGGATACAATTAAAAAAAATGAACAAATATGAAAAGGACAAATCACATTGCAGAACAGAAGGGGGATAGGGGGGGAGGAGGAGGAAGGAAGGTAAGTGTCTGTGAATTGATGATATTAAAGGTAGGGAGAGTGGGATGTTTGTGAGTTAATGGTATTACAGGTGATAATTGGGGAAACTGTCTTGGTAATGGGTGAGATAAGAATTTGAACTAAGTCTTTGTTGGCAAGTGTCGAATTTTAACATGAATGACAGTTCAGAGGATTCCCTTTCAAGTGCAGATGTAAGTAAAAGGTCTTTGTAGCAGAATGCAGGTGGCTAAGTCATTTAGAGAGTGTCCTTTCTGGTTAAAGTGGCAAGAAACTGTTTTCTCTTTGTGATCTTGTCTGATATCTGTTTTGTGGGCATTAATCCTTTGGCGAAGTGTCTGAGATGTTTGTCCAATGTACATAGCAGACGGACACTTTCGGCACATGATAGCGTAGATTATATTTCTGGATGCGCAGGAATATGTGTTCTTGATCTTATAACTCACTTGGTTAGGTCCAATAATGGTATCAGCAGAATGAATATGTGGACAAAGCTGGCAACGGGGTTTGTTGCAAGGGAAGGTACCAGGGTTGGTATTAGTGTGGTATGTCCTGTGGTGGTTGGTAAGAATCATCTTGAGGTTAGGTGGTTGTCTATAGGAGACTATGGGTCTGTCTCCCAGAGCCTCTTTGAGTATGGTATCCTGTTCCAATATAGGCTGTAGTTTATTGATAATGTGTTGGACAGGTTTAAGTTGGGGGTTGTAGGTGATGACAAGTGGTGTTCTATTGTTGGTTTTCTTGGGTCTGTCTTGAAGTAGATGGTTTCTAGGTATTCGTCTGGCTCTTTCAATTTGCTTTTTTGTTTCTCTGGGTGGGTAGTTGAGATTTATAAATGCTTGGTTGAGGAACTCAGGTACCACAATAACAGAAGCTATATAAGTACTAGGGTAAAATTCTATTTAATTAGTTAACTGATTAAGCATTATGTTTAACTGGTTAACCCAATAACAGGGACAGCCAGACTAGGCTTGCTGTGGATGGGGGGCTGCTCTGGCTGGGCTGGAACACCTCTGCTTTTGGTGCACCTGGCCAGGCCCATGGCAGTAGCAGCTGCTCTGGTTGGGCGGTGGGCTCCTCCAGCCACTGCCAGTTAACCCTTCACATCCTAATAAGTACCAGACAGAAACTTGGGTGTTCTAATCCCTACACAATAGAATCCCAAAACATATTTTGGGTAGATTCTGCAAGTTTACAGCTTAATTCTCACTACTTGATCCCAAGTGGCTGATCCAGGCTCTCAGCTAATGCAATGAAATTGAGTATTAAATCAATGCTGAAGTGACAGCCTGAATTTGTATTAAAAAATCCTCAGGCTGGGCTTCAGGATGAAAAGTGGTGACATTAACAAACAAGAGACAAACCAGATGAACATGAAGTCAGAGAACAGCTTTTATTGACCAACATAACATAGAAACTTTTTTCTTCCCAATGATTTTTTTAAAACAATCTTTAACAGCTAACTGCAACACTTTTACAAACTAAAAGATTCTCTGGAATTCTAACAACTGCTTGTAATTTTGCTAGTTTATATTCAACAAGCGGTATCTGTGTCCTTTGGAAACAATCCTTATTCTAGACAAAATTATATTTAAAGATGAAAAACTATGACATTACACAAAGTAGTAAAAAAAGTTATATAAAATTAAAATGCATTCCTTTAGGAAAGGGGTATAGACTCTGTGTGATGTGTGAATCTGGATGTTGACATAAGGAAAAAAAAAGCCTCAGGGTGTTTGGGTTTAAGATTCTCATATGCAAACTAGATTAACATTAATTTTTCCCTTTTCTTAAGATGCAAACATTTTACTATATGAGCTAGTTACCTGGGATCTTAAAAAATACAGAACTATTAAGGAACAAGGTACTCAGAATCTAAAAGATGCCTGCACTTTATCAGGTGTTCCTTAGTATGTATGTGCTAGAAAGTCTGGATAGTCAGAAAAGCAATTATGTAGAGTGCTCAAAATAAATGATTCACTTTAAAATTCAACACTGTTTACTCACAATAATAAACGATGCCAACAAGCAAAAGCAGACAATTGAGAAACAGCCGGCTGTCTTTCTGCTAACAAAAATCGTGTCATTAAAAAAAAAAATTACACAAATGCCTGGGCACAATATGCCAGAGTTATATGGAAAAAACTGACTCCCAGTGATATCGTCCTTTATCACGTAGTGATGGTCTACATGAGCTACTTAGCCTAATTTTGCAGTTCTATGTTTGATATCCTATAGACAGTAAGTAAAATGAGGACAAACTGCTATACAAGTCTCTGCTGTTCAAGTTATTAAAGTGGATGGAAATTAAAAAAAAAAAAAATCAATGAAGATTGGTGTGTTGGTTTTTTTTGTTTTTGTTTTTTAAAGGAACTAAACTGTGTCTCTCACAATACATCATCATACTGGCATTAACCTGCGTCCCACACACACATCTTTGAGAAGGCGTGGGCACAGAAAGCTGAAGCATGTCACTGCCAAAACAACACAGTGGAGGAGCAGGAGTAACTCCCTGGAACAAAGTGGAAATTCAGCTGAAGGAAGTTCTTGACTGCGATTGCCCTGGTACACAGCACAGTGATGTGAGTTTATGACAGAGTAACTTCACTGGAAACAGAAAGCCTGCTGGCCTTGCCTAGACATGATTTTACAAAATGTTTTGCATTCTAACACCCGTACTACACATTTGGTAAGAAAATAGAGAGCACTTCTCAGCTTGTGGTTCTTCTAAACTACTGTAGGAGGGCACTGCTTACACGCCTCCCTCATTGGCGACCATCTGAGGTAATCCATGATGCTGCTAGAGCAGCAGCTTCTATTTCTCTCCACCAGTACCACTTGTCTCCTTATTGAGTCCTCGGATTGACAAGTCATAAACCACTTCCTCAATTTTCTTGACATCGTACTTCAGGCCATCGTAGCGCTTCCTCAAGGAGTCATTTTTCAGATTGAGCAGACGGAAGCCAGAATCCAGCTCGTTAATGAAGGTGGAGATGCGGAGAGGACGAGAATAGTCACCTGCTGTGACACTGTTCACTGCCAGCCTAGACTGCAGGGGAAACAAGTCAGATGGTATGGAAGAAAGGTTGCCTACACATGCAACTGTCAAGTCAGGTCTTTCGAGATCTTTCTGAAGTCAGGTCGCCTTCCTCAATCTGTTTCTACAGCCAAATATGCTTTTCTTGTCAGTTTATTGTATGAAGAAGCATCAACGTAAGCTAATCAGACTAGTTATATTCATCATACATAATAGTTGTGTGTGTAACAAGAGTCCTTGCTTTCAATCAAGGCACTGATCTGAATCTGGTTAGGATTAAGTTGAAGTAGGCACTTAGTTCTTTCCTTCCTGAGATTCACTCCTACTTGCTACTTTAGCATTTCATAATGACTGGAAAGGTTAGCTAGCTAAGAGTTCAACACCAGGGCATTATGCGCTAAACTTCTACCTTCCTCAAGTGCAGGGTCCTGAAGACAAGTTACTGGCGATTCATTTCTCAGTTTCAGACCAGCTACCAATGTGTGTAAATATCCTTTACTTACCAACTCACTAGCAAGAGTCAGAATCCCAGAGAGGTAGTCTTCAATGTCCAGGTGAAAACCTTTTTCTCGATCAGCCTCAACTAAAGTGAAAAACAGAGTTGCAACCTGAATCAATATCATATCTGAACATGAGCAGCAAGTTAGAAATGCCTTTATTTAAAGTCTGCTACAGAAGATATTTCAAACATATGAAACATTATAGATGGCATTACAGAAGTCAGTTGTTTCCCTGCATATAACATAAGTTACTGCTGCTTTTCAGCCTTTTGATTTGGCTCCCAAGTTGGTTTAACATCTGGTATGTTCTCTACCTGAGATCAGATCTACACTGTGGGAGGAAAATCGGCTGAAGGTATAAAACACCAGCTACATAAATAACAATGTACCTTAAGCTGAGCTTGGTGCTGCCTCCACAGTGGGAGGTCGACAAAAGAAACACTCCCATTGACTTCCCTTACTCCTTGTAACAGCGAAGATTACCGGCACTGATGGGGGCTCTCTCAATATTTGATTTAGCAAGTCTTTACTAAGTTTAAATACTTAATAACTTTATCCAGTTTAATTAAGATTAACTTACTTCCAAGTATTTCTGTAACAGCTTCTCGAGTCACTAATGTTTCTGTCTCCAAGTAGACAACAAATGCTGCCAGAAACACCAAGCGCTGTAGCACAAACCTCCAGTGTTCATGAAATCTATATTGAACCACAATCAGGTGAAAACATGCATTAAACACATTTGTACAACTTGTCCTAGTAAGGACTGAAAATGAAGACTGAAAGTATAAACATTTTGTCTACATTATGCTGTGTGTGCTGCACTGCACCTCGATTGAACACACAGCCAAGACTGACAGAATTGAAGTTTCACAGCTTCCCTCCCAAAGAAATTACTTTGATACAAACAATGACATCCTTGACAATGAAAAGAATTTCCCCACAAATATGGGTTTATTGTGTCCATGTGAGTTTGTGGTCTTGGCAGCCTGAACAATTCAAAGATGCTTGGTGCAGGATGATCACTAGTAATGTAAGAAATATAAGATACTTGCCAGTAGATTCATCTCCTCTCCAGTCTTCTCTCACGGCTACCTTCAAGTGAGCTGGCAATGGATTTAACTAACAAAGACTCCTGCTCTCTGAAGTATTTTTTAGAAATCCCCGACAGGCAGGGTAAGCAAGCAGGAGCCAAAAAGGACTGCCTCGTTTTGGAATAATTCCCATTATAAGTCGCATATTTCATGAGAAATTTTGGGCTTAGTTTTCAGAAATGAAACAGTACCAACAGCTAATTAAAGCAAATGGAGCTGAGTGTCCTCAATATCACTGAAAATCAGGCCCTTAGTTAACTACTCAAAAAGGGCCAAATTATTTTTGTTAGGAAGCCTTTCAAAAAATTACTCCAGTAAGGAAAGCGTTTTTTGAAAGCTGAACAATTTTACCAATAAGTTTGCTCACATAGCCATTTATGATTCACAAAAAAAGTATCAACTAAAGAAGTAAAATCCCATTTAAAATGTTAACTGATTAAACTATATATTTAGCTGGTTAAGCAGCTTGCCATGTCATGCCAAAGGTGGAGGGCTGCTCTGGCTGGACCAGGTGCCAGTTAACTGGTTATCCCTTTACATCCCTAATATCAACCAATGCTATCTCTAATTTTTAGGGTAGAAAAGATGTTGGACCCTATACACCCTCACAGTCCCCTTTTAAGTTAAAATGTGTAATATCCTTTTATGACTATCAAACCCTTGTTATCTGTATAGTAATTTACAATTTTACAGACCTGTAGTACTGTTCAGCTGGAAACTTGGTCTTCAGAGATGCTAGCTGTGTTCTGACTGCACCAAAATGTTCTCTGGCCTTCTGGCACTTCTTTGGTACTGAAAAAGAAAAAGAAAGTGACATATTTAGTAAGTGTTGAGACTAATTCTAGCAAAATAATCCTGTAAGCGTACGTAACACTGCTTAAATCAGCATGTCTGTTTACACATCAGGGCAACAAATACGCTAAGTAACTTGCAAGAAGTCACACCAGGAGTCAGTGGCAGAACACAGAAGAGAACACAGGAGGGCTAATTCTTAGACCTGAACTCCAACCACTACTCCAGTTCCAAGCAACATGAAAATAGACACTCCATAATTATTTAGGAATCACTGGTCATCGTTTATGTCTCAATCACGTCAGAGCGCCAGATCATCAGTAACATGCAAATCAGTTCACTGTATTAAACGATGAGAGGTACACTTTTCTTTCTGTACCAAATCCAATAATTCACTACTAGATAACCTAATACAATGGGGTTGGAGCTGTGTTATCCAGTAGCCCATTCTGTTGTACATACATTTGAATGAATTATAAAACACTGCTACCAATAAGACTGAGAATGTGGATTTAAGTCCCCATTTAGAAAACTAAGGTTTCAGGCTCATTACCACTGCCACCCTCAGTTTGCAGATATGAATTACACCTTAACAGAAACCCATATGTAACAGTTTTATTTCACCTTTTCTTATTCATACAGAATTATACATACAAATTGCAATTTGTAGATAGAAAAAGAGCTCTTCAGAAGAGTTTGGGTTTTTTTACATGCCGAAAAACAGCAATAGCGATGACAGATCATGCAGGTATAAGGTAGGGAGAGAGGTGTAACAATCTCCCCTTTAAGGGAAATGGACTTTACACAATGAGCATAAGAGTTTGTATTGAAGTTTACATGACTGTGCAATCTGAAGAAAATGTGTAGTACTCACAGGGTACGTCTAGACTACATGCCTCTGGCGACAGAGGCATGTAGATTAGACTACCCGGCATAAGAAAATGAAGCGGCGATTTAAATAATCGCCGCTTCATTTAAATTTACATGGCTGCCGCGCTGAGCCGATCAGCTGTTTGTCGGCTCAGCGCGGTAGTCTGGACGCTCTGCGGTCGACATCAAAGGCATTTGTTGACCTCCCAAGTATGCCTCATCCCAGATGATCGGCTCAGCGCGGCAGCCATGTAAATTTAAATGAAGCGGCGATTATTTAAATCGCCGCTTCATTTTCCTATGCCGGGTGGTCTAATCTACATGCCTCTGTTGCCAGAGGCATGTAGTTTAGATGTACCCACAGAGAAGGAAAAGAACTAACAATAAAGGAAGAAGAGAAAAAGGGTGATTGACAAAGCATGCAATAATGAAAAGCATGTAAAGAAGATACACAGGATCAACTATAAACTTCTGTATCAATGAGGATGCTGGCTTAGATTTTCAAATCCATCTTAGGGCCAGAACCACACAACTCCAATTCAAGTTAATGGTTAAAATTCTTTCTTCACCTTTGAAAACTTCAATCTACATGTTTTCAGATTGTTCAAATCCAAGTATTTTCTATGCCACCCTTTCTATGGCTCCCAAAGTTCAAAGGTGCAGTACTCTATGTGCATGCTTGCTGAATTCTGGTGGGTTTTAAATCACAACAGAAACCTGAAAATGGTGGAGTTACTCCTCACAGCACCTGTGCAAGGCAGGAATGTATTATGCTCATTTTCCAATGAAAAACTAGGCACCGACTGCTTCAAAGCCGCACACAAGCTATGTGGCAGAGTTGAGAGGTGAATCCAGTTCCCCAAAGTCCCAGTCCAATGCCTGAACCACAATCTCATCCTGGTATGAATAGTTATGGCATGTGCAGGACCGGCACTTAGAGTGCAAGGGAAGTTCTTTGGCCATAGCAGTCCTAAGCACATGCAGTACTGTGTCTGCCAGAGCCCAGAGGCATCAGGACCTTTTACACCAGATCTATAAATTCTGATCAGAAACAAAAGGAGGGAGAACAACATTTCTAGGTGGATGAGATCCCATGCTGTTTGTGACAAGTAATACACTATAAGGAGCCTTTGAGGGACAGCCTTTAGGTTGATATCCACCACAGCAGACCCCCACAGCTATGATCAGTGCACAAGTCAGTTTCCCTTAAACAACTGTTGTCATTCAGACACGAGTGATGGGAGGCCTATAGGGGCAGTTCTAGGGTCCAAAAGTAGGTGAGTCACAGAGTTGCCTCTTATTTACTCTGGCAACTCCTGAGGTTTGGGGAGGGAACATCCAACAAAGTTTCCAATTTTATATATGCCATTAGCCAAACAAAAATTAAGTTACAAGAAAATGGTTAATATCAAATCAATTAGACTGATTAAATCAGACAAATTAAACCAATACTTCCCCCCTGGACTGAAGTGGTTCCCCTCCCTCTGCCCTCACATGGACAGAGGCTGCTCCCTTGATCACCAATTAACCTTAACCAGTGAGGCATATCAATTAAACATTCACATCCCTATTATCAACCTCAGTGCTCATCAACATATTTAGGTTTCAGCCAAATAACTGATACAAGAAGAGTTAAATCACTGCCAGGTTAAAGCTAATGTTGAGACTACAGCTCTCATGACAATTAATTACAAGGTAATTAAGGTAATATGCAGAAATTACTGGTTGTTAGGTTATAGCCAATTTTTTTCTCACCCTCCCAAAAAAGGGGTTACAAAGAAGCATTCCAATACAATTTAAGATAATGCAGCTCATTACATGTAATGTTCAAACAGCATCTTGGGGAAAGATATGATCTTTTATGATTCATAGGTTATAAACCCAGAATGGATCATTGTGATCATGTAGTCTGGCCTCCTGTATAAGATAGGCTACAGGACTTTCCTGAATTAATTCCTATTCAAACTAGAGCAGGTCTTTTGGAAAAGACATCCAACCTTGATTTAATAATTTATGGTGATTGAGAATTCAACATAATCTTTGTCAAGCTATCCTCATTGTTAAAGCTTTGCAACTTATTTCTAGCTTGAGTTATTTTACCTTCAATGTTCAGATTCTGGATCTTGTTAAAAGTTTGACTACCAGATTGAAGAGTTCTCTATCAACACATTTTTGTTCTCCAGATAAACACTAAGGTTAAGTCTGCACTACAAGGTTTTTGCACAAAAACCAGCAGACAGTCCATACCTCAAGAGCATTTATGTGCAAAAAAACCCCCCAAAAACCCAGTAAATCGATAGGACAGAGGGCTTTTGCCGGTAGAGTTATTCCTCTCCTCATGAAGAATAACTCCTTTTTGCGCTACAGCTCTCACGCAAAAAGGCACTCCGCATGGGATTCTTGCGCAAAACGAGTCTATCAGAAAAAGCACAAGTGCTCTGATGGCCATTCTGTTAATGGCCATCAGAGCTTTCTTGCGCAGAGCGTCCGCACTGCATGGATGCTCTCTTGTGCAAACGCACATCGCTTTTGTGATGTGACACACTTTTGCGCAAGAAGTTTTTGCGGAAGATCTCTGCTGCAAAAAGCTTCTTGTGCAAAAACCCTGCAGTGTAGACAAATCCTCAGAGTAAAGTGTCATAGGTATATTTCCATATACAGGCAGTCCCCGGGTTACGTACAAGATAGGGACTGTAGGTTTGTTCTTAAGTTGAATCTGTATGTAAGTCGGAACTGGCATCCAGATTCAGCCGCTGCTGAAACTGATCAGTTTCAACAGTGGCTGAAGCTTCTTGTGCAAAAACCCTGCAGTGTAGACAAATCCTCAGAGTAAAGTGTCATAGGTATATTTCCATATACAGGCAGTCCCCGGGTTACGTACAAGATAGGGACTGTAGGTTTGTTCTTAAGTTGAATCTGTATGTAAGTCGGAACTGGCATCCAGATTCAGCCGCTGCTGAAACTGATCAGTTTCAACAGTGGCTGAAT